GATAAGACAGAATGTCTTCTGATTGGAACGCGACAACAACTTCAGAAAGTCAGTAACATCAGCATTTTATCGGTTGGCGACTCCAAAATTGCTCCATCATTTGAAGTTCGAAACTTAGGAATCTGGTTTGATTCGAAGATGAGTATACTTAGTCATATTAACAGAACTTGCTCATCCGCATTCCATCATCTTTACAACATACGTAGAATTAGGAAATATCTAAGTCGTTCAGTTACCGAAACATTAGTTCATGCTTTTATAACCAGTAGAATAGATTATTGTAACAGTCTACTATATGGCCTCCCGAATTCACGTATCATGAAACTCCAACGGATACAGAATGCCGCATCTCGGTTGGTCACTGGATCTCCAAAATACTGCCATGTTACGTCATTACTTTTCCACCTTCATTGGCTCCGATTACTTACCGTATAAAGTTTAAGATTCTCCTTTTGACATTTAACTGTTTATATGGTCTAGCCCCTAACTATTTGACTGATTTAATTAGCATCAAAAAGCGATCCAGGTGCTCTCTTAGGTCAAACGAGTCTTTATTATTACTCGAAATATCAAGCAGCAGGACCCGTCCAACCCTTGGTGACCGTGCCTTCCAATCAGCTGCACCTCATCTTTGGAATGCATTACCTTCGACAATTCGTAACATAAAGATATTGGACACTGTCAAGACTGCTATCAAAGCTAATTTTTTTTACCTAGCTTTCAAATAGATTTTTATTTTTACTAATGTTTCTTATTCACTTAGCTAGGCTATTTTTCTCTTTGAGTCCATAGACTCGTAGGTTCGAATTCCAATAGGTTCTTATATCTTAGTTACTATTGCCATAATTTTATCCTACGATATTGTGAAGCGCGACTGAATATATTCATATAGAGGTCTGCGCTATATAATTGTAAATTATTATTATTGATGCCATTTGTTATTGACCTTTTTATATTTCCAGGTGAAAACTTTGCAACTTAACGTTTGTGTATTTGTAAAACTTCGTTTTTGCTTTATTTTTGGATTCCGGACTCCGGATTCCGGATTCCGGATTCCGGATTCCGGATTCCGGATTCCGGATTCCGAATTCTGGTTTTCGGTTTCCGATTTCCTGGTTTTAGGGTTACCGTTTACACGCGGAAAACTATGTGGAATTTGGACACGTTTTACCTATCGTCCTCTCTAAGGCGCCCCAAATCTTTTGACTGGAGGAGCTTAGATATTCTAGTAATAACTGTCAAGTTTACAGTTTGTAAAGGACTTTTCTCACCTGTTTGATCATTCTTCATTTTATTGAGAAAACAGCTAATTTCATTTTTATTCTGGGCCCAGTTATTCGAAGGCCGATTAGCGCTAATCCAAGGTTAAATTTTAATCCAGGTTTCTACATTCTTTGATCAAAAGCTGTTTTGTGATAATTTTCCCAATTCTTTTTAGCTCATTCAATCATCAAATTGTAAACAAGTGGAAATAAACTGAATTTTCTTTTAAAAGCTTTCGCATCTGAAATCTAATTTCACACTAACCCTGGGTTATCTTAACCCACTTTTAAACAACTCGACCCTGGTTTGTAAAAAATTACACGAGCTCGTATCATTTACTCTTGCAATCATTATAATATTGTTTGGATTCGTTAAATGACACAAGTTTCTTTGCCAATTGTTTTAATATTGAGTGGAATGAAATTCCACCTTTTCCCATATGGTTTGCTTGCTGATACCATAAATACCAGGGAAGGAAATTAGTTTCTACATGCGTCATTACTTCGAAGTTTCTGTTATTTTCATACCATAATAGCTCGTCTGTTTATTTTTAGCCGTGATTCCTCTCTTGTTCTCGTTGATTATCTACTTCTTGAACAACTGTACATACTTGCGTGACAGGTTTAGCGATCGGATTTCAGTGTGTAAGGGACGTAGTTATTTGAGAGGTTTATTGTTGCAACGCTACTTGTTGAATAAATGCTACTTTCTTTTTCACCGCCACATATCAGCTACCTATTGCCGCTAGGAGCCAGACTAAAGTAAGCCATTTTATTTACTTCATTGTTATAGTTAGCTTCATTATCTTAATTGGCATGATTATCTTTAGCGCTTGTGTAGTTTCGCGATTCTATGCCACGTGCGTCTAGGTTAATAAGTCCATCCACAGGCGTGGGCTTATTTAGGTTCCTTTCTTTGCTTTCTCGTTCGAACCACAACAAATCTCAATGCGACAAGACCTTATCGCTACGCAAAGCTATACATCGAATCATCTATCCATTATTCTACAAGCCGCTGCCTTTTACGCAATTTCAATTAAAGTTTACGTTGTGCGTTACAACTGTCTGGTCTCCAAATCCGTCTCTTACGACCCTCGCTATACATGTGACCTTTCGGGGTTACAGTTTCGATCTGCATTCGTTTGGCGCGATTTCGAATTCACTGAGTCAACGTTTCCGAGTGTTCATATTTATCCACGTCTATTCATTAACCAAGTGATTTAAATAAAGGGGGTAAGTTTCTACGTCTACGGTAAGTTTCTTTGTCGGTGGGGGTAACAAGATAATTTGGTAATATCAACTAAGTTGAAATTGTAAATTGGCCACCGTAAAGAGTTAAAAAGCTGACGTTTCGAGCGTTTGTCAGAGCAAATGGAGGAACTGTGGGTTGTGTGTGGGTTTGTATGCAGAAAGTGAAGCTACGCTACTGGTGGGAGCATGGCGACGGGAAAAACACGAATAAATGAGTAGAATAAAAAGCGTTCGTTGATACCTAAAGGGCGTAGCCAGGGGGGGATCCTGGGGTGCCCGCGACCCCCCCTTGGTAGGTCTTCTTTAGAGCAAACAACCTACAATATTCAGGTGGCGAAAACACCATGACAATATCTTGGCCGTAAAAGCCATTGATATGGGCCTTCATGCTGTGATAGTACGACTGAGCCAGCTGATACACGTGGAAGAGCAGTGGTGTTAATGGTGAGTAGCCTCTGTGACCACCCCTAGTCACAGAGGTGGTCACAGGCTACACCCCTGTACCTGTGAGATTAAGAGTGCCGATTTCAAAGATAAACTTTTGTTCGAGAGTTTTGCGGCTTTCCCATCTATCTAAAGGAGCCTTCATTATTTATGGCGGGGGGAGGGCTGGCAAGAATAATGGGGGGTCATTAGAAAAATTTGGGAATAATGTAGGGGGGTCAAAAGCTTTTTGTTGTTACATATCATCTACAAATGTGGGTTTAAGTTTGTAGAACTTTTCTACTATCGGCCATATTATATATTTCTCACTTCTTTTAACATAGCTGCTTTGATAGTCCTTGGGGGGAGGGGGCTAGCTATTTTTGCAATTACAACTACACTGAGGGGTCATGAAGTTTTTAATTCATATAGAGCAGGGTCAGGATATTTTGTTTAGTCTCACTGAAAATCTTGCCAGCTCACCCCCCTCCATAAATAATGAATGCTCCCTAAATGTAAGGAAAGACAGCAGATTGCCACATGTTGCTTAGAATGATTAGGTAGATTTAAGTGTCTAGTGACTGGCTTTGATGCATCCTTGTCATTCCTTTCTACGTCGCAAAGGTGTTCTTGGGATCGGTCACCTAGTCGTCTTCCTGTTTCGCCGAGGTATAGCTTTTTCCAATAGCTGCAAGTTCTCTAATGAAGGGCTAACACTCGAAATGTCAGCTTTTTAACTCTTTACAGTGGCCAATTTACAATTTCAACTTAGTTGATATTACCAAATTACCAAGTGATTTAAAGAAGAGGCACAGTGGGAGTTGCTTATATATTTCATACTCTACTATTAGGCAATATGGTGGGTCTGCTGATTTCGAGCTTTAATTAAGGAGAACAGTTGTGTAATTGAAAGATGATGTATTAAGCGGATTAAACAGGCATATGATCAGTAATTCGGATGTTCTAGCTACCACCGAGCTGTAGGAGACTAGTGACAGACTTTTGGCCGTTTAACTAGGCCTCTAGAGACGAACTTCTCGCATACTGCCAGGATAGTTATGTAACTGTTCAGTACGCGAATTTTCAGTGTATGGAGAGGTAGTTATTGGATACCGTTTTTTTTAATGCAGAAAATTTCCTAGAGTGAAAAAGTAATGATTACGACTTAACCCCTCAGGTGCTTCTTCCCATTCATGGGGGGGGGATAAATGCTTGCCAAAGTGACAGCATTCGGTTGGAAAGTGTTTTGGAAATAAATCAGGCTAACTTCATGCTATCCTAAAACAAAGCCTTCAGGTCCCATAGCTCGTTTTTTGCCATTGTTCCTTTTTCAAACACCTCTATGCAAATTTGGTATGGAAATCTTCAGATTAGCATTTCAGCAAGGGGTTGAAGCATTCTTTATGGCACAAAGTTTACTTGTTCTTCATCATTTTCCTTTTTGTTTTTTACAGAGGAATTACTTAGCAAAGACAAAGTGTCAGTAACTTGTATAAAGAGGGGGTGGGTAGGAGGTTAGGTGGGGCTGCAGGCCCCTTTTTTTCCTGATTCATGTAGAATTTTGTTCTAGGGCAGCATGAAATTGTTTTGGCAAAATATTCAGTCGCTTGATCTTTTAACAAATCTTGGTACAGCTGCAGTTTCAGCGTTTTTTTTTAATTTAGGCAGGGTAACCTTTTTAAGATGGGGCTCAGAGAGATGATGCCCTCTTGAAATTTAAAACGCGGATATATGATTTTAGATTATGCATCTATTACCCTAAACCTGTTAATCTCTTTACTCACAAGATCTCATTTGAGTAATTCTCCTTGTTGTCTGACACAAAATTCTTTGATGTTAGTTTGGAGAATTTGGTGTTGGATCAATTAATAATCAGGTTTCCCGTAGTTGATTTTTTGCTCTATTCTTATCACTAGTTTGCTCGCTATTGTATTGGTATTGTGATGAGAAATTCTCTCTTGGTCACTCATGGCTTAAAAGCTTTGAAGTAATAATAAGCTGTTCTCATGTTTTCTTTTATCGGTCATGAAAGAAACCACTACGGTACCACAGTGACTGTTGCTCTTTTACAAATTCAGGTACACTGATCTCACAGTAGCTAGTGTTGGAGACAGCAGTGGTTTAATGTGCCGCATGGGTGAAGCAGTCTCAATAACAAATTTACACCATGCACCCATCTAGGGAGGATGAGCAGCAAAGAATAAAGCTGTTTAATGGTTGGATCAATTGGGGATTAAATTCACCAAAGGTTAATGGAAAGCTTGCAAGAACTCGCTCAGTTGGTGGCTTTCTTTGCCATTCCTTAAGTACAGCAATTTAAAGTGGATTGTAAAACAGATTCTTTTATTGTTTTGCACACTGACGGCATGTTGTATGTCATGTCAGATGAGGAAATAACTGACCTTGTACAGACTTGTCCTGATGCTGAACATGCTGCTAACATTCTGACACATTGTGCAATACAGTATGGTTCAGAAGACAATATCACGGCAATAATTATTCCTCTGAGACTTTGGACCAAAAAACTCAAACAGGAAGTATCAAAGGAGCACAGCTTTTTGAAAAACATGAGAATTAATTACATTTAAATGTTCTGGTGCTAAATTCAAGTGCCATCTTTGCTTGGACCATGTTGGGAGAATTGAAGTCATCTTGGGATATATTTATTTACTAACATTTGTACTGAGTATTACATTCCATGGGGTCTTCTAATTGGCACATCCATTGTTGTCAAGAAAAGCATGGTGGAATTCATTATTATGCACATCATCCAATATAACCTTAAAAATTCAAGAGAAGATATGTGCTGGAACAAGAATTCCAGCTAATCCAATTAGTAAATTTTTTAAAGGATTATATTCATTTACAACCACTGTTTTTAAGTTATCATTGTTTGCACGCTTACTTGTACTCATATTTTTTTATTTATGTAAATGATTTAGAGGATAATCTATATAATTATGCAGAATATATCTATGATTAATCGTTTAGAACTAGTGTGATTCTTCTTTCATTAAAAGCATTATTCCCCATAGGCTTAGGATAAGTTACTTTTACCAGTTAGGTAAACTTCCAGGAATTGGATGCTGCCCCAGGAAGAACTGTTCACTCTGCAAGACAAAATTGGTAATATTTAATCAGCAATCTCCTTTGCAGCCCAAGATTACCATTCGAAAACATTGCAGAGGGTTTGTTTACTGGATTCAGCCGGAACTGATGACACAGAAGCCGAGCAGGACAGTGGGCACAGACGACCAGAGGGACAGTAGCAAAGCCACAAGGAGCAGGGAGGAGCAAAGGGCACAGTTAGCACAGAGGCCCCAGAGGGGTAGTGGACACAGAGGACCATACCAGAAGAACGGAGGAAGAGTGGACAAAGAGGGAAAGGGGCAGAGTGGGCAAAGGAAATTAAAGATACAGTGGCCACAGATGAATAGTGGACACAGAGAGACAGAGGCACAGAAGAAGAGAGGGACATTGGCAGAGAGGAACAGAGAAGAGAAGGGGGTAGAAAGGAAAAGAAGGAGAGAGAGACTTATTATCCCGCTCGTTACAAGCCAATGCTGATCTGACTAAAAACTTGCTGTATTCACCAGAATGGATTTTATTCTAAACTAAGAGGTTAAAAAAAAAAAAAAATTTTCAAGGTTCTTTCGCTACTTGACGGAAGTCCCACTAATTACATGCAAAATGAAACAAAAATATTAGAATGGTCTTTCAACAAACTGATCTATCCCTTAAGGAGAGTATATTACTTCTCGAGATTCTTGGTAGACGTTACGCCATCCGGCCCACCAAATCCTGATCCTGTTTCATACGATTGATATGCCTTTTCCGCATCCGTTTTTAGATCTGGCCCCTGATTAACTAATTGACAATGGTTTCACGTGGTCTGTAATGCAATTGACAACGATAAACTGCATCACAGTTGTCAAAATGTTGCCTCACGAGGCGCGGCCTGGTGAGTCCGCAACAAATTGTGACCACTGTGATGACAAATATCGTTGCCCATAAGAGTACAGACTATGTGATAAATCCAATATTAACCAAACCAAGAAATTTATTTACTGTAAAATCCTTAAACATCGATTCGAAAATGTTCTTCTTCAAAAACCTATTTCTGCCCGAAAAGCCACATGGGACAAAGCCACTGCCGGGCAGTTCCCGGAAGGTCACAACACTATGCTAAACCACTGCTGATATTTCTTTCTTTTTTTTTTTTACCACATCGACGTCAAATACGACGATTCGATTCTTTCAGGGCGTGACAATTGCGTGACACGTTGACGCAAAAGTTGTTGATTGTACCCTATACCGACAACGGCAAATTGCGTATTACTGCTATTTATGGTAAAAAAGTTCTCCTAGGTTGTACCCCGGAAATTGGCCTGACGTTCTCCTCGCCCTCTTACTTTAGAAGATTAAGAAACCCGTTTTTCAAATATGTGTAAAGCTGTTATTTTTCAAAACCGGGTTGCTCAGGTATGTAATGTGTTCTCAACAAATTCCATCGGATTGGGATAGGTCAGAAAACTGTAGCTTAAGAGTTGTGTGTGATTCTGCGATTTTCCTCTTATGACAAGCAGTACGTAGCACTGGACGTTTGTTTAAAGTTGGCAAGGGTTCCAGCTGAATTTCAGGCGGGGTATCGGGAGTTTTCTCTTCCAGTCCTTCTTCTTTGCCTTTGGCAGAGCTGTGGCAAGTTTCTTTTTTCTTTTATGGTTCTCTTTCCTTTTCTTGCTCTTTTGTTTTGAATTTTTGTAATGTTTTGTAATTTTTTGTTTGTTTGTGTACAATGTGGAAAGAGGCTGACAGAAAGAGGGTGCATATATATTTTGGGGGTAAATGCAAGAGATCCTAATAGGGTCGACTTGGAGATTCAGTGACTCAGATACCTTGTGAATAGAAGCAACAGACTTTAAAAAATAGTGATAGGAGTGGAACATTTTTGGTTGGCCCGGCTGTATGTTGATCCTATTTATCCGACGTCTGAATGTATAGCTGTGTAACTTTTTAATAATAATAACTTGAATATATTAACAAAGTTGATATAGTAAATTGGCCACTGTTACGATTATAAAAGCTGACGTTTCGAGCGTTAGCCCTTCGGCGGAGCGAAGGGCGAAGGGCTAACGCTCGAAACGTCAGCTTTTATAATCGTAACGGTGGCCAATTCACCATTTCAACTTTGTTGATATATTCAAATTATTTCGTTACCCCCATCGACGCAGCCCCAAACAGTTTCTTTAGAAGCTATCAGCCTATATTTATTTTTAATACATACCTTTCCTAAATGTTACTTGAGGATCCTCTTGGTCGTTGAGGCAAATGCTATAGCTTCCGTGTTTAAACAATCGTATCAATTTGGAAGTGATACATAGCCTCATCTCTTGGCCTTTACCAACGGGAACATCTTTGTCACAGGACATAATTTGTTGAAGATTATCATCTATATGAAATTTACCACTGATCTTCGAGTTTATTGGCGTCAGAATAAGGAATACTCCTTTTTCGTCCGCATTTGGACATTTAAACTGCAAGCACACAACATTCTTGCCAGAGATGAATTGTGTTGTGTTAATGTTATAGCCGTATGTTGAATTGATTTCAAAGTTTTTGTTCCCATAACTCGTTGCCATGAATACCACTTCTTCTTTTCCAGTATAATTGATTTTAATAAAACACTTTTCGTCAACTTCAGTAGCCCAATTCAGAGCCTGCGTTTTGTGAAGTAGTTGAAGTGGCTTAGTATCGTCGTCGGCCGGCTTCTTAAAAACGAACTGACGACTTTTTTTTAGGTTTGATGGTGGTGAGCTGTTCAGGGAGTCTTCACATTTGTTCTTTCCCGGTGGATTTACAGAGTACGTCGGTCCGTCAATGCTTGTATCGTCTTGTAAACTGCTCACAAAAGAATAATATGTGATGGTGTTTCCTCTTCCAGTAATCGACTTAACGCTGCCTTTAACATGATCGAATATTTTCTGTGCAGACGTATCATCTATATCAGTTATGTAATAATTATTACCTCTTGAGGCGTGGACAAAGCATTTAGCATCTCTCCAAATTGGAATGCAGGCTACACCGTAAGTGGTTATTTTCTCTATGTACCCTTTTGGGGGTTTAAAGCAACCTACTCGTACTAAGACAGCGCCATCCTTATCGTTTTTACTGTCTGGGACAGTTACTCTCAAAGCAACTTGTTCATTTGGGGTATCAAAGTTAAGGTTCCGCTTTCCCAAATAGGGCGTCACTGTTCCTGCAAGAAACATTCGCTTAGAACGCCTCCTTCTTTGGTGTTTTCCATCTTCTGGCTTAAATTCACCGGCCTCCCTCCAGCGTCCTGTTTTTTTGTCAAGCCAATAAAGTTTCACAGAGACATTACCATCAGATCCAGTCAAATTGAGCTTTTCTGGATCTAGATATACTTTCATGGGCTTAGACATGGTCAGCGGCTTCCCATTGTCGTCTTCCAGATTAACCTTTATCATGCCAAATGTTTGAAGTAGTTCCTCCTCGCCATCCTCACTCATTGCACTAAAATCTCCAGGAGCGGACTCGATATCAGATTGGTTGCGAGGATCAGTCACACTGACGGTGGCCTTGGCAATTCCTTCGAAAACAGAACCATCTTCATTCAACAGGGCGTTTTCAGGCAGCTCAAGATCAGCAAAACCATCAGAAGAATCACTACCCAATGGTACATCAAGTGGTTCGGAGGCATTGAATATAACAGGCGCTGGTTTTTCTCTTAATTTCACAGTGTAAATAGCCGTTTGACCCTCTTCCACAACAAAAATTTTTTCTTCTTCCACAAATTTTTTGTGTATCAAGTCTTTGAAAGTAACAATTGCCCTTTTCGTGGTTTTTGGGACAGGAAATGAAAACTTTCCCTTTGCATCAGTACTACCCACAGATTTTCCACCGAAGACTAAATCAACTGAAGTGGCAGGATTGCCATCTTGACCGATAGCAACACCACTGATGATAGTCTGTTTTTCCTTGCATTTTCCACAACCGCACCTCTTCACCACCGACATTTCGAAAGATATGGTGACACCGCATTTTATTGCAACACTTTCAAAGAGAAGAGGACTGCAACAAAGGGGAGGATCAGAACAAGAAGAAGTGAAGTTAACACCTCTCTTTACGCATGTAATAGGTTCGCACTCGCCGACGTCCACTGTGGTGGAGTTTGTACCATTAACAAGACAACCAGGTGGTAGAGACACATTACTGGAAAGTGGTATCGAAGAGCAAGAATCCTCAGAATTTTCTGCCATCAGGAAACAAATAAAGACAAGATTTTATTCACTGGCTATCCAAAGTACAGTAGGTTTTAAGAACCCAAATCAGTAGTAATAAAAAAGCTTTAGACCTGTAACTGATGGTGAAATTCCTCAACACTTTTCCTAGCCTGAACTTTAAAAGATACAAAATTAAAGTTCCAGTCTAACTGAGCTGTTGAGTCTCATGCGCATCACGGTAGGATCCCCTCCTTTTAAACCATCTCGGTGTTATGTATGCTTATAAAGTCGAATTCAACTCTAAGAAATCATTTATTTCGTCCATCCGCGCAATAAAGATCATTTTTTCGTCTTAGAAGCAAGAGTGAACGTTGTGTTCGAGTCTAACTTTTTCCTTTCTTACACGAACACTACACAGTAAGATGCAACGATTGCTTTTCTAACATTTTTTGCTTGGGATAAATGGGAAAGGTTTTTGAATCCCCCCCTCTCCGCTCCCCCTTAAGATAGTGATTAAATTCCACGCTTTCCTTGGCACCTAGTATTATCTTAAAAAGATTTAATTTCAACGACTATTACCACTAAATCTTTTTTTAAAGTTCAGGAGAAATGGAGTTCTTACCTAAAACCATTAAATCAGCTTCGTTTGAAAACTCTGATCCAAATTGATTAATCGCTCGACAGCGGTAACTCCCATTTAGACCCTGAACGTCGTTTATTTCAAGAGTATTATTGTTATTATTATAGAAGCTCTTGTCGATGACGTTGTTTTCCTTAAACCTAGCAAAGAAACGTTGAATAAGAATATCAAAAAAAAATCAAACTATGCCTACCGACTATAAAACTACTTAGAACGTTAGTAGAGATAACTGGTTTGGAAATCTTTTATGTTAAATTCTTTCGTTTGGTTTTGTAAACCTGACTATGCACGGCGTTCAATGAGTTTAAAAATCATTTTGAACTGACTGACCAACAGAGGCTTTCCATAATTTACTAATTCAAAGGGTATGAAAACACACACACACACACATACAAACACACACACACACACACACACACACACACAACACACACACACACAACACACAAAGATTTGTAGGATTAGGGAGCCAATCCCAATATAGGGCGCAACACCATTGTTTTCCTGACAAGTCACCTCTGCAAATTATGGATGCAACGTTATAACAATATATAATAATGATTGTAATACTAAAACTAGTATTAGTAATAATAATAATAACATTGATTGCTGTAATAATGATAAAATTGATGAAAAAATGGTATGATAATGATCTAAAAGTTATCAACTTTCTCAGACGGTGTCATGGAGCAACAAAGTTTACTCTTCGCGTCCTATCAGACTAAATTCCTGTGCATCAACCTATGGTACACTACACGGTAACAATCATAATGATGCTGATAAGGATAATTAATAATTATAAGTATGATTGTATACTAATGATCGGCAACAGTCACAATAATTTTTAACTCAAGTTTATCTCTTCAGCACTTACTCAGAAAATCCAAATCCTTGTACTTACAAAGGGTGCAGAAAACGTATATAATAATAGTAATAATAATAATAATAATAATAATAGTGATAATAATAATAATCCTTACTTACTGTGAAAGAGATTCCTTCTGAATCAAAAACCCGACTAGAAACTTAGAAACTATCTACAAAAATAATGTAGTTACCCATTGCGTTCTGTAATTTTACCTTACCATTCAATTTCTGGTGGAGGATTTCCCTCTCCCTCACAGCAGAATGTAACACTCTGACCAGGCATGCGTATCTTCTTTTTTGGATGAACTGTCACAAATGGTGCGACTGGAACAATAAACGAAAGAGGAACTACTGTAACAACAAGTAAAAAAAAAAAAAAACGTTTTCGTAATCACAAGTCGTCTATGCGAACAAACAAAAAAACGTACAAGCTTGCAGTCCATTTCAATTGTATCAAACACGAGATTTGTTATAGAGAAAATTACAAGCCAAGGGGACGCGGCTTATATAGATAGATTATTACTTACGAGAGAGGCGTACTGGACCGCACAGCTTTGTACACTTAGTCCCCATGGACTTAACAAAAGACGCGAATTCAGATCCAAAAATCGCGTTCGCTATAAAACGTAATTAGGGCTTCATTTACACAATGCAATTGAATTCTTCGCAACCAATCCTGGTTATTTCGCCCCTTGCGCATTCTTGCCTTTTACTCATTATTATGTCTAATAATTTAGGTATGTAGTGCATTACGTAATATGATTTATATTTCTTAGGTTTAGTATAAATTCAGGTTATTCTGTAAACCTACTAGGATTTTTAGTTTTTAGTTTTTATGTAAATACGTTCCACCTTAAGAAGGCCGAAGGCCGAAACATCGCCACATTAAAGCTGGAACAGTTAGAAGTTTGCTTCATGTTTCATCGTTGCCTGACGATTGTTTCGCAAGAGGCATGAAACCCAGAGTTGCAGTAAAAGTTCAAGTAACCTAGATCTTGAAGTATAATTATATATATAAAAGGAACTGGAAAGATGGAGAGTGAGTATTTACAGGGACCTGTGATGGTTCGAAATAGTAATTTGGAGCGTACCTGCCATTTCCATTTTGGCTGTAATATTAGCAGTTGTTGATGTCGTAACATTTGCCGTTAGTTTCACGGGGACAAACCCTGCTTTGGTAACTAACAGCTCTTGTTGGATTGCACAAACTCCCAGAGTCACAAAGTATCCGCTGATATTTGTTTGTGCAATAATGTTGNCACAAAACAAAAGGTAAACCTAAAAATACTCAAAACAGCAATCCTTTAAAATACTCTACAACATAATCATCATATGGCCAGCCACGTTAGGTGTTGAACATTTCTTATCAAGATTCTTTTTGTTGATGAACTCTATTTTTTCTGACTTACTATACCTTGCTATATGATTGGCAACGCAATATTTCATAATATATGTTTCACTAGACGGATATCTGAAAGTTAGACAAGCGAATACAGTTGTCTGCTCTGGGAAAGACCTTGTTGAATTTAGAGAAAAAAAACACTTTCTGTTCATCGCAGCTCTTCCTTCGACTATCTGGTCATGTGATTATAATTCCGTTCAGTCTGTCATAAATGTATGTTACTTTAGCCCACAACAAGTGCTTTCAGCACTCTCTACCAAACAATCATAACTAGGCATGATTGACAATTCTTGTAGAAAGATGCCTACCTGGACATTTCCATTCTGCGCATGATTTAATCTGGTTAGATTTACTAGCACACGAAATTGGGGCAAAGACTGCTTTATCATTGATGGCCACGCATGTTCTGTTTCGATGTCGTGTACCGGCGCCACATCTTTGGGTGCAGTCACTCCAAGGACTCCAACGAGACCATTTGGATTCTGAGGTTACGACATATATAAAATTAATTGACAGGTAATAGCTGAGTTTAAGGGTGAAGATGTACGGTATAAAAAGAAAGTGACTGTAATACTGAAAAATAATGAACACTGAAATAGACTCGTTCAATGTTTTGGCGCAATATCTATGACAGAAACTGAATAAGAACATTGCCCCTCTCCGTACCTCGAATGGGATGTTACCTATATTTTTTAAGATATGCTCGTCAGCTTGGTGAAACCTATGTACCAGTTATAGCTGTTTCGTTGAAGGAGACTTTATGACAACTAAGAGCACATTTCGTACCCACTCATCTCCTTTTCGGGATTACTATTTTTCTGAATGAGGAAAGCTATAACACCTTTGGAAATTTACTAAGTAGAAAATGTAAACTTTAGAAATAATAGACCAGCTCCCGTTTGAAGGGAGACAAGGGTATGTGGTAGCACTTTAGCATCTTTTTTTTGTCATTTGTTCTGTCTCATTTACTACAAAGTGATAATTCATATCAAACAATATCTTAAACATGTGGGAATTTCTTGTGATCTGAAACTTGGATCATATTCCCTTCACTGAGGTCGGGAAAAACACATATAAATACGTTTTGCTCACACTGTCAATCGAAAAAATTCTTGAAAACTCCTAATGCTTGGTCAGAAAGAAAAAATACGAGATAGCTGAGTGAGTAAGTTTCAAAATTCACTTCACACACCTTTTTTCTTTTTCCTCGCCCAGGCAAGAAAAAAAAAAACACACTAATTAATTATGATGCACTTACAAGAAGAATAGAATAGTAAACTGAAGAAGTACTGAATAAGGCTCACCTATGTTTGGCAGAGGGTTTGCAATGACTGACAAGTCAGCCACCACGCTGCTTGTTGAGGAAGCACTGAAATCACTTTTTGAAGAAAGTGTAACTGTTGCAGACGAGGTCAGTTCTGGTAGAGGCGATACTGGGGTATGTTGAACAACACTTGAAGTGGTTTGCAGTAAAACTGTTGTCTCGGTTGTCGCTGGTGAAAACAAATGTAGATAAGTATTACGAAATTAATGATGACGTAAAATATTGGTACACCTTCATTAACACCCCATTAAGAAACGAAATGTGATTTAGACCTATATCAGAGTATTGTTTGGTATTGATTACCTTTGGTATTGATTTGATTCGGTATTGATTTGGTATTGATTTGGTATTGATTTGATTCGATTTGATCTTCCTGATCGGTCAAGGAAAATGGCAAGTACGTTATTTGGCTCAATCGGATGAAAATCTTAGATCTTCAACATTAAAGAGTTACTAAAGAACGTTAATTTTTAGGATATAACCAATGACGAATTCTGCAGTGAACGCACTCTATATTTTCGGCATTCAGTGAGGAGCTTACATTTTCTGGCCGGGGTTTATAATGGCAGAGAGCCACGTGTATGAAATGATCAATCGAGGAAGCGAATCAGTGAATACATGTCACAAGGACGCTCAGAAAAGGTTATAGCTCATTCTACACTCCGGCTTATATGGACCCCGATATAAGCGTAATTTTAGTGTAAAGCAAATAGGCCAAGTGGTTGTCGCACAACCTATGTGAACCAAAGTGTCGATAACTCATAAGAGACTCGTACTGGATTAGAGTAATAACTTCTCTGAGCTCTTAAACTGGCTGGACTTACAGACGGGTTGTTTTACTTAACTTGGTCTCTGAAGATACTTGCTGTAATTTTTTCAATTGCGCGCAAGCCGCCCTCAAAAAAGTGCGGAAGTATGTGAACAGTATTCTTAGTTTTCTCGCTCTTCTTATCAAGCTAATTCGGTTTTATCAATAAAGTTGATAATTGAGATGCAATGAATATATGAAGTTCATATATTTTTTAACTGCGGTATTAGATACTTATGATGTGCGATCCTCGCAGTAGATAGCGCTATTTATGCAATAGCGAAAATCAGACCTGAAAAAAATCAGGCCTGTACGGGACTCGAACCACTGACCTCTGCGATACTAGTGCAGCGCTCTACCAATTGAGCTAACAAGCCAACTGGGAGCAGGCCGTTAAGTTGATTCGTAATAAACCCGTGAAAGTGATAAATGAGATGCAATGAATATATGAAGTTCATATATTTTGAACTGCGGTATTAGATACGTATGATGTGCGATCCTCGCAGTAGATAGCGCTATTTATGCAATAGCGAAAATCAGACCTGAAAAAAATCAGGCCTGTACGGGACTGGCACATCATACGTATCTAATACCGCAGTTCAAAATATATGAACTTCATATATTCATTGCATCTCATTTATCACTTTCACGGGTTTATTACGAATCAACTTAACGGCCTGCTCCCAGTTGGCTTGTTAGCTCAATTGGTAGAGCGCTGCACTAGTATCGCAGAGGTCAGTGGTTCGAGTCCCGTACAGGCCTGATTTTTTTCAGGTCTGATTTTCGCTATTGCATAAATAGCGCTATCTACTGCGAGGATCGCACATCATACGTAAAGTTGATAATGTAAATTGGCCACCGTAAAAAGTTTAAAGCTGACGTTTCAAGCCTTAGCTCTTCGTCAGAGCGAAGCGCTAACGCTCGAAACGTCAGCTTTTAAACTTTTTACGGTGGCCAATTTACATTATTAACTTATAAAACCAAATTACCTTGTCACCCCCACCCACGCAGCACCACAGTTTCTGTAGAAACTTACCCTTTTGTTCATTCTTCAAATCAAGTTCTCTGATAAATTTAAAAGAATACGCCAGAAATGGTGTTTTGCAACCAAATGCGTGCATGCAAAATCTAGGTACAACTCAGGGGGTTCAGAAAGCAGTTTAAACAGAGTTTCAAGAAATTATCGAAGTAGCGAGCAAATCGTCCCCTCTGGAGGTAGCTTGTTGAGTAAAAAATCTCAGACTTTCAAAGTGCTCCTTTTGAGCCATTTATTTGCTGCTTTCACCATAAAAACTCTTTTAGAACGTCATAAATACTTTCACCTCTCTTGAAGAGTGAATTAAGGTGGAGATTCCCGACGGTTAGCTTGGAGACAGGTTAGCTACAGAAAATGAACTAGGAGTGTAATCGATAGGATATCTCGCCATTTGTATTCTTAGGCCGACCGGGACGCTCTTTCATTTCTGCCGATGAACGCCCGCCGGCAAAAAGCATTTCTGTATTTATTAATGTTGATTGATCAATCTTTTACTTCGATATTTTTTCATCATAGCGTTCATTTGACGTCCTGTATTGGACTGTGATATCTAGCTCCATGAACTGCTCCTTATTGCGTTATTAGACTCAACTTTATTAGAAAGGGTGAATAAATTAGCCGACTTGAAAACGCTAAGGACTTGCATCTCTCCCACCTAGGTTGGTAGCTAGAAAAATTGTCCCCTGGTTTCCCTCCAAGACCTGAGGCGTGTATGAGCCTTTTCCGCTTTATTATTTGAGTGAGATGCCTGTATATTGACTGGATTAGTAGATTTAATTTTTCTTTTTAGAATCAACTGATTCTTCACAAAATGTTATTGTTTTCAGTTACCTGCGTTTGGTACCAACTGTGCCAAAGACGAGAGAGCGGCCGATGCCACGGTATTTGAGAATAAAAGCATTCTTGCGTTCTGTCTGTGTCTAACAGTAATCGAAACCACCTTGGTTTTTCGAAATATTGAAAATATAATCTTCTTCCGAGCGAAAATCGCTTCAGTGCTCAAAGGCTCGTTTTATGGCAACTGCCTCCTATGGAGGTAAAGCCATAATGTTGTCCTGTTGAGTAAGTGAGTGTAACAATAGAACGAACTCTTCGCCCACAACAAAGTCGGCCACGTTTTACCCGATATTCCTCGCTCTTGGCTAGTGTTTGCTTCGGAACATCTTCGTTCGTCTAACGCTTAGTCACGATTTCTTCTATGTCTTCGAAGCACTTTCAATGTTACTCGGAATTAGTACGTGATCACCTTGTTCCACGATCCCAGTAATTGTTTATTTTGGAGTACTGCACAACAAGATAAAAATCTCACAATAATATCAGGATGGTAAGTGAAAGAAAACAACACTTTTCTTTTGGAGAAACACGTAAATAAGTTTGATTTGCTCATTGTGGAAAAATTTTCATTTTTGAAGATAGAGGATTTTACCATTTCAATCAGCGTCTAATGGCCAAAAGAGCCGCTAAAGTTGCAAAGCGAACAGGGTCCGAAATACGTTTAACAGAATGAACTTATTTGACAGAATGATAGAACAGTCGTCTCACAAGAAATAGAAAATTTTGCTGTGAAGAAAGGAACTCATGATTTGTAATCAGAAGGCAATATTGCATAATTTAACCATTATTGAAGCCGAGAGAAAGAACCTGTAGA